AATTAGATGCAAAACTTGGACCAATTACAAGTTGGCCACACCCACTTTCTTATGTTTAAGAAGTTTGCTTGTTTTCACTTTGAGTTTTCATTGGCTCTTCAGGGTATTTTCCTTTCTTCTGATTGTCTGTTGTGATTACTTTGGTTGTGGGTTAACAAGACATCAGAGGAAAGTGCTCTGTGCATCACCTAAGATAAGCAAAACATTTTCAGTTTGCCTCTAGGGGGTCAAGAGCATTAGGGAAAAAACTGATACATGCACACTGTACAAGAAATAGGGTTAGAGTAATGTTAAGGGTTTTTCTGTAGCCATTAGAGAGTGACCACTGCTAACCTGTTTTATCGTACATGCTCAGGATTCAGAGAACACTGTGATTCTGTATGAGTGAAACAGTTCAGTACTTTAGTGCTATGAATTGTGTTGTTACCTGGCATGATACTGCTCCCAGGTTCATTCTCAGGAAGCATCAGCTCACCCAATCCACAGCGAGGACTTGAGCCTAAAAACCTGACATCATTTACAATCTTCATCAAACTGCAAGCCATCACAGTTAGTGCTCTGTGAAGCTCTACCATGAGCAACATGAGCTGCAAGGGCTTCAAATTTGTTTGGTGCACTAAAGGAAACAGAAGATAAAAAGTATAATTATTGCATGTTTTGGTAGTCTTGTTTAGTGACCAAGATTAAAATAAAGAAAGAACTTTTTTTCCCAAAAAATGATGATGGCTAAGTAATAAAATTGTTTGGCTGAAAGGTACATCATTTACTAAATTTTCCCTACAGGCAGGGTGCATAAATTGGTATTTTATCTTTTCTTCAAGATTGAGCAATTTGTTCAGCATATGAGTCATAAGAATAATGTAGAGCCAATGGCTATTCACCACACTAACACAATTTAATTGCAAAATTACTGTAGTATTACTGCTTAGGAATATGTGCATGTGTTATTAGTAATCTTGCAAGCAAGCAAGCAATAAGTCTATTTCTAGCATTAAGAGAGTTTTAGTTTCCCACCCATCCACACCATAGACAGTTTTGACTGTACCTTAATCTCATTCATGTTTGTAATTTATTCTTGATTACTGGACCGTTGGTTTAGTGTATTCATCCAATATCTTTGTTATGTAATAGTCTAGTGTGTTATTTACATAGGATATAAACATTTAATAAACTGTCTGGTCCCAAAACAAGCCTCTGTCTGTTGTGGTGTTTAGAACAATCCTAAACACTTTGAATATATTATAGAGCAGCACATGGAGTAATATGTTTATTCCAAATTAACAGTCCATTTCACACCTTGTGATTGGTAGCTTAGTGAACTCTGCAATCGTAGCTGACATCTTTTCAGCAAATCCTATTCTTGCGTTCAGTCCAGTGCCCACAGCCGTTCCACTGATAGCCAGCTCATACACTCTTGTAAGGGTGCCCTCCACCCTTGCAATACCATACTCTATCTGTTTAACATAGCCACTGAACTCTTGGCCTAAAGTTTTGGGCGTGGCATCCTGTAAAATGAAAACATGTAAAAGATGATGATTGACCAAATTTCATTGGAATTCTTTTCATGAGAAGTTGATAATATTCATGCTTTTAACCCTTCAAATTTCAAAAGTGATTAACATGTAACTTCTCCCTCCAATATTTGTAAATTTTTCAGAAAACAAGTTATAAGAATACCTAAACTTATCAGGTTGATTTTATTGCTTTAATCTTAAACCAAGTTCTTCTAAATAATTTACCAAGAAATGTGTAGCAGCTGGAGGGGAGAATTAACAATCGGATCTTGGGAGTTAAAGGGGTTAACAGAGGGAAACAAAGAAAGAGAAAGCACCAAGCTTCTTGAGGATTTCCACTGAAATCATGTGGCACAATTGCGATCACATGATCAGACAATTCACCTGTGTATGTGTTCTGCCAATGTTAACAAGATACTTGAAATCTGTTCTCTTAGCCTGAAGTGCACCATGAAGCTTTCTTAGTCCTGGTAACAGACACTCATGCACCTCCATTGCTGCTGCTATATGCATTGCTGTTGGAAATGTAATCAGAGTGAAAAATATTGTTATGAAAATGGTTAAAAAATATTACCTACCCTTTTTTAATACATTCTCTCTGAATCATTCTTGTTAACTGATGAAAAGTGTTCCTGGACAGACAATAATGCTTTTATTAACATTGGAGAAGTGAGAATTCATTATTAGATCTTTCAGTTAGTACATGAGCAATGTTTAGTCAATTTTGCAGGTCACATTTTACAGCAAAACCTGCTAAATTCAAAAGTTTGTTTCAATTGAAAACTTCCCCTCTACTTGAACCTAGAGATAATAAGTATATTACTAACCATGTTTTCTGGTCCGTACTGTAAATTAGAGAACCTTTACTGATTACATTTCCAACAGCAATGCATATAGCAGCAGCAATGGAGGTGCATGAGTGTCTGTTACCAGGACTAGAACCTCAGTATATATGTCATGTATGGGCATTTATTATGTCCTTAATACATATTATGTCCTATACCGGTACTTTATATACAATACCCTACACACACATACAGGGCTAAACAAGGCTAGATACAGCTATACACAGATCTACAGGGCTATACAAGGCTAAACGCAGCTATACAGAGGTATATGCAGCTATACAGAGCTATGCACAGCTATACAAGGCTATACACAGCTATACACTGCTATACACTACTAAACACAGCTATACACAGCTATACACGGCTATACACAGCTATGCAGGGCTATACACAGCTATAAAGGGCAATACACAGCTATACAGGGCTATATACAGCTGTACAGGGCTATACACAGCTATACAGAACTATACACAGCTATACAGGGCTATACAAGGCTATACAGGGCTGCACATAGCTATACAGGGCTATATAAGGCTATATACAGCTATACAGGGCTTTACACAGCTATGCAGGGCTGTACACAGCTATAGAGGGCCATACAAAGTTATACAGTGCTATACACAACTATAGAGGGCTATAGAGGGCCATACACAGCTATACAAGGCTATACACAGCTATTCGGGGCTATAAACAGCTGTACAGGGCAATACACAGCTATACAGGGCTATACACAGCTATAAAGAGCTATACACAGCTGTACAGGGCTATACACAGCTATACAGAGCTATACACAGCTATACAGGGCTAAAGACAGCTATACAGGGCTATACAAGGCTATACAGGGCTATATAAGGCTATACACAGCTATACAGGGCTATACACAGCTATACAGGGCTATATGCTGCTATAAAGGGCTATACAGAGCTATACACAGCTATACACAGCTATACAAGGCTATACACAGCTATATATGGCTAAACACAGCTATACAGAGCTATACACAGCTATACAGGGCTATACACAGCTATACAGGGCTATACACAACTATACAGGGCTGAACACAGCTATACAGAGCTATACACAGCTATACAGAGCTATACACAGCTATAAAGGGCTACACAAAGCTATAGAGGACATTCACTTGGATATAAAAAAAGTGTGATTGCCAGTAGGAAGTTTAGTACTTTGGATGATCTTCAGTGTTTCATCATGAAGCAGTGTTCAAGGGCTGTAGAATTTTAAGGAGAGATGGGGTGGGGGAAAGGCAGGCGTAGTACATAGATCAAAATACTGTTCCAGAAGTATTTTCTTTGTAAATGTCTTTAGTACCCTATTCTTTATGTTTTACATCTCATTGGACTGATTATTCAGCTATACAGGGCTATACAGAGCTATACAGAGCTATACACAGCTATACAGGGCTTAACACAGCTATGCAGGGCTATACAAGGCTATACAGGGCTATATAAGGCTATACACAGCTATACAGGGCTATACACAGCTATACGGGGCTATATACTGCTATAAGTATGAGTATAATCTTTATTTAAGCACGAAACAATTCATCAGCAATTACATTAACTAAAACTATTTAAAAATTAAAACACTAACTAATAAACTAAAAGCTGTTTTCCGTGAATGCCGTACGTTATAGAGTGGCATTGATCTTGCGTTTAAATAACCCCAGAGAGTCTGTGTTCCTTATATCACATGGAAGACTATTCCATAATGTGGCTCCACTATAGCTAAAGCTTTTTCGATAATAGTAAGTGCGAGGTAGAGGAACATTGAGTTTATTTTCAGAGTCCCTGAGGTCATAAGCAGAGTTACGCCATCTAAACTTAGAATTAAGATATTCAGGAGCTAACCCGTGCAGACATTTGAAAACCATGGTAACTCTATGAATTTCCTGCTGGCTTGTCAGATTTTTCCAACTTAAAAATTCAAGTAGCTTAATTGCATCGGCATCATAGCTGGAAAATGTCAAAACACGGGCTGCTCTAATCTGTAATTTCTGCAGCTTATCTCGTAGCGTTATCCCACAGCTACCCCAGACAATGTCACAATAATCAAAGTGAGGTTTTACTAAAGCTTGGTAAAGCAGATACAGGGCTATACAGAGCTATACACAGCTATACACAGCTATACAGGGCTGAACACAGCTATACAGAGCTATACACAGCTATACAGGGCTATACACAACTATAAAGGGCTACACAAAGCTATACAGGGCTATACACAGCTATACAGAGCTATAAAGGGCTATACAGAGCTATGCAGGGCTATACACAGCTAAACAGGGCTATACACAGCTATACAGGGCTATACACAGCCATACAGAGCTATACACAGCTATTCAGGGCTACACACAGCTATACAGAGCTATAAACAGCTATAAAGGGCTATACACAGCTATGCAGGGCTATACACAGCTGTACAGGGCTATACACAGCCACACAGGGCTATACATAGCTAAACAGTGCTATACACAGCTATACAGGGCTATACACAACCATACAGAGCTATAAACAGCTATTCAGGGCTAAACACAGCTATACACAGCTATACAGGGCTATACACAGCTGTACGGGGCTATACACAGCCATACAGAGCTATACACAGCTATTCAGGGCTAAACACAACTATACAGAGCTATACACAGCTATAAAGGGCTATACACAGCTATACAGGGCTATACACAGCTGTACAGGGCTATACACAGCTATGTGGGGCTATACACAGCTATACACAGCCATATAAGGCTATACAGGGCTAAACACAGCTATACACTGCCATACAGGGCTATACAGGGCTATACACAGCTATACACGGCTCTACAGGGCTATACACAACTATACAGAGCTATACACAGATAAACAGAGCTCTGCACACCTATACAGGGCTATACATAGCTATACAGGGCTATACACAGCTATACACACAATACGCAGCTAAACAGAGCTATACACACCTATACAGGGCTATACAGGGCTATACAGAGCCATACACTGCTTAACAGAGCTATACACAGAAAAATCCGTCTGACTTAAGTATCGTAAGTGAAAAAGATGTAAATTTATCCGCAAGCAGAACTGCATGATAGAACAATCGCCTCAACTTTATGGTATTCATCTAGAGCAGAGAGGTTCTTGAAGAAACCTGATCTTATCAAATCGATCGATCAAACGGGGCGGCTACCATACAATTACAGCCGTGAAAATGTGAAATGTATCTTTGGTATATTCATAAGTTATTTTCATCAAATCAGCTCTAATTGTCGAAATTTGTAATAATAAGTCTATATAAGTCTACTTAACCTTACAACATGAAGATATTAAATCGCTAGATTGCTGGAAAGCTGGGAAAAACTTCAGCTGGCTGCATAAGAAGATAAAAAGTGACAAATTTTTTCATAAAGTCCTTCAAACATTTTCAACACGGTCGAAAAAAAGCGAGTTTAAGTTGAACACAACTCCATTCTCTTCCTTTTCCTTCTCTTCTCTTTAACCTCCCTTGCGAGTCTCCTTTCCTCCCCTCCCCCGCGACAAAAAGTATGTGTCACAATTCCACATTTCTCGGAAAGGACGAGTGATTAGCATCCATGGAATGATTCACGCGTATCAGAAAATGTAGCGCGATGCCAGAATGTTCATTAAAACACAAAAAAAAAAAGGAAAAAAATACAACACTTACGGGCATGATTCATATTGTAAAACCTGAATTGAACTGACCCAGCTTGTATAAGATCTTTTAAAGCGGCTAAACACCGACGAAAGGAAAACTATTCTCGGAACGAAGACCCTTGAGGGCAACGAGATTACTACTCCTCTGATCATCGCCGCTTGTAGTAGACACCTGAATTCTATAAAGATTCCTCTAAGTTATAAAACAGACATCAAAGCACAACGGACTTTCAGAGTTGTCCGGTTACACAGCTTTACGGGCCGCTACTCTCAAGCTCATAGTTCCGTCTGTTTCTATCATCATAAGATGATTTTGTAGGCTTGAAGCTGTTGAGTGTAATGGCGTGATCACGGGTAAAGATCCTTGTCGTTGTAAGTGGTTTTGAGGATCATAAATGGATTATAGTCTATAGACTAGAAAGAACCATTTCTAAGTTCACAGGAAAAAAAGCGAAAGCCATATCGTGTATTTATAACCCTCGGCCGTATACGGGTGAAATTATGTCTTATTCATTTCTCCAGATCAGTTGGGCGCTCTCCCTCTCCTCCCTAACTGAAGAGATACGTGTCACGCTCCGCCCTTTCTCGAAAAGGAAGAATGTTTGGTTCCAGCAGAAAGATTGTGATCACATGGGAAAATTCCTGCACATCGCGAATGACAATGTAACGCAACTGAGTGTTTCTTCAGACAGAAAATAGAAAGTTTTATGAACATAATTTACATTACCTTTCTTGAGATGAAGCAACTCGCACTTCTTTTTCTACAACATATAAACTGAACCAAACATCGGTTAAACGAACTGTTTCTCTACCGTGACACCTGAAATAAATGAGCCCGATTATGCACAGTTCTGACCGTAAAATTATCGATGTGTTTGTTGTTTTGCTCACACAGTTCAAGTCGAGCGTAGCAGAGTTTAGAGGTTTTGAATTTGTGTTATTTGAAATGGATTGTAAAGCATCCGTTCGTGATGTGGCTTCAGCTTACCAAGCTGATCCTGACGAAGGTTCTGCTCTGCTTGATTTGCTAAAGGATTTGAACGCCGAATCAAGAAAAGCCGCCCTGGAGACAAAAATCAAAGATGGTGACGACCTTGCCACTCCTCTCATCATCGCTGCTCGTGATGGAAAACTGGATTTTTTGAAAGTTCTTCTACGTTATGAAGCAAACATTGAGGCCCGTGGAACGATTAAGATCGAGAGTGGTGAATTTTCAGAAGTTGTAGAGGATTGCACAGCTTTGTGGATCGCTGCTGTTAAAGGTCATTTTGATGTTGTGAGACTCTTGATCGAACAAAACGCCGAAGTCGACAGCAGAACATCGACAAATTCGACTCCGTTGAGAGCTGCCGCCTTCAAGGGACACCTTGGTATTGTGCGCTGTTTGGTTGAGAACGGAGCCGATGTAAATGCACGCAAAAATTTCAATGATACTCTTCTGATGGTAGCATGTTACAAAGGCCACTTGGATGTTGCTTCTTATCTTGTCAAACATGGCGCAAACATGAATTTACAAGACCACCATGGACGCTCGTGTCTTCATTATGCTTCGGAACGGGGTCACGTTCAGTTGGTTTGCGAGTTGCTTGCTTTAGGAGCGAAACAAATACAAGCTCTTGACCGTTTAACACCACTTCTTGAAGCTAGTGATGATTGTAACATTGAAATGGTGGAGTGTTTCATCAACCGACCTGAATGTTCAAAGGAACAGAGAATTGATGCTCTTGAGCTTCTTGGAGCCACCATTGCTAATAATTCTAAAGCTTATGACATTGAAAAAGCGTTTAGTTTCATGAAGCGAGGAATGGAGGAGAGGTATGAGAATCCGTCATGTCCTTTGCTTAAAAAGAAAATGGAACCAGTGGAGGCTTATCAAAATAGAACAGAAAGTCAAACTCTCGAGGAACTTTCTCTCTTAGAAGGTGATGATCTTGCTATCCAGATGGAGGGACTTATGATTAGAGAGAGAATCCTCGGAACTGACAATACAATATTACGGATTCCGATACGTTACCGAGGAGCTGTCCTAGCTGATTTTAAGTACGAACTCTGTGTTGGTTTGTGGACGCGAGCATTGGAGATAGTTATGAATTGCAATGTTCCAAAAACAAAGGATCTTGAAAACCTAACTGATCTAATTGCAGAAATGGTGCAAAAGGGTCACAGTTTGAATCCACAAACTATCGAGAACATTTTTGAAAAACTTATCGATGGAAAAAGGAAACTGTCCGAAAACTTGAAGCCTGGAGAATTGGAAGAAGAGCACAGAAATGAGATACAAGAGAAACTGCTTTTTAATGCTCTTTATCTCTTTGGTGATGTACACCAAAGTTCAAGTTTCGTTGGAAATGAAAAATGGCAACATGATTGATCTTCTTCAAAGATATCTGTGTTTTGAACCTCGCACCCGTGATGGAAATACTCTTTTGCACTTGGCTGTATGGCATAAGACTCCTGTTCGTAAAGACGTTAATTTACGAGGTGTGTGTAAGCTTCCCTGTGTTGAGACCATGAAGCTAATTTTATATGCGGGGTGTGATGTGAATTCCGTTAATACCCAAGGGAACACCCCTCTTCATTTAGCCGTTACTTTTGTACCAGGACCTGAACAAGTAGACATTTTGAAAGAAATGCTGGAGTTGTTGTTAGATCTCGGCGCAGATACAAAGCTTGTTGACAAGAATGGTCAAACAGTTATGGACTGCTGCGAGACTGACGAAGCCCGAGGCATCCTGTCTGCAAAAGGAGGACTGAGTGCCATGAACATCGAGGCCAGAAAGGTAAGAAAGGTTTCATTTGTAACGCCTTATATATTCTCCTTAAATTATCACAGTAAACATCCTAACGAAATGGGAGAACTCTTAGTTCATTTCTCCATAGGATCTTGTGTGGATTATGTTTCGTAACCCCTGGTTACCTTTCTTTTTACTTAATTGTCTCCAAACTCATCTTTTGTGGATAAAAACAATTCATTTCGATGATCTGATAGTCAAAGGAAGCATCAATTCAGTGCTTTGAAAATTGAGTGTCACCACTGAAAATAGATGACCCATCAGACAGTTAAAATGTTTATATGTCAATATGCCCACCTTCCCCCCACCCCAAAAGAAAAAGAAAAGAAAGCAATTTTGCCTTTGAAGCAATAGCAAGCCGTTAGATAAAGCTAGCAGGCGGGCTTTACCGCGGTCGACTTGTTGATCAAATTAACAAACTTATGATCACCCGTCTGACTCATGTTTGTACAAAAAAAAACAAAGCAATTTAAATTTAAGTTCAAACAGCAAACCGAGAAGATTCGAAGTAATTACAGACGGTCGATAAATCGGAAGGAATTGTAAAACAGTAAGAGCACACCGCTCCCTAATTATAATTGTAAAAATTTTTGTGGGCCTTTCCTTAATTCTGTAGTGTGACCACCTTTTCATTAAAAGTTTATTTGTATAGTTTTGCGGTCTGGCTTTAGCGTCGGTTGATTTCGTTCGCATTTGTTGTATAATGACTTGTTTACTTATCATACAAGCAGTCAAAATGAATTTGCGTGGAAGACTTGCGGAAAAGCGGTCATTAGGAATGAAATTATCAGAAGGTGTAACTGCCGATGACATCCTTCTACAGCGCATAATATAACTGGCAACTATCATAATAATCCTAAAAGGTCATCAGTCTTTTTGTTGTACATTTGATATCATCTTGAATTGCTTGAAGCTTGAATTTCCAGGGCAATTTGCCACTATGGAATCATCACATGGGGAGTTCGTGTAAAATAAATCATAACAATTCGTGTGCAGGCTAAACTTATGATGTCCAAACATCAATAACAGCAATGGTATGAACTCACTCGTAGCATGTTTTGTAACTGGTCAACGAGCTAAATACTCCTGATATAGCAATACTTTAAATAGCATGAGTAGAATCCGTTAGCTAATACTTAAAAAATAACAATAAAAATACATATATATATAAGAACAATACACATTTAAAGAAGAGACCTCAGTTGTTTTCAGGGGGTCCACTGGAGAATACGCAAAACAAAACTCTATAAAAAAAAATAACTTAGTAAAAAGTTGTTTTAAAAGTGGCTATCTAAAGCGCATTTAGTTCCAATTTCAACTTGAGCATGGCATAGGTATTTTTAATTCTGTTAATATTAACTAAGGCAAATCATGTAAAAACGTAATATTTAAGTCCCTGATAAAAATACTGCAAGGCCTAAATTTTTTTAATTTCTTTTGGCTGGGAAACTCAGTGTAAATGTACCAAAATGTTTTTATCCCCTAAGTTGCTATGTGTTTTCCATTTTTTTAAAGAATAAATTAACTGGAAGTGGAGTCCGTGAAGTAAGAGGGGGAAGATTTGCTCTTGGAACCGAAAAAGGCCTAAATAAGAATGTTAAAAGGGAAACGAAGAAGATATCAGGTAAGAGGATCTTGTGGAGGAACAAATTTGTAACGAAAAATAACTGTAGGAAAGACTAGAGAGTTCTGTCATGAGCTTTTAGGTTAAAACATTAAGTAATGGAGGAAAACTGAATATATTACAAATATTTTTTACACGGATAGCAGGCTTGGTGCCAAGTAATCTAAAATGGAGTCCAAAATGATTTAGTTCCTAAGTTTGAACGTCTTTTGATATAAAACTTACTTAGAGAGAGAGAGAGAGAGAGAGAGAGAGAGAGAGAAACATGTTTTGGGTTCTCGGTTCACGCTCTGTGAGACAAGCTGGAAAATGCCTTGTTCTATTTTCATTATCTAAGGAATGTTTAGGGAGTTGACACAGCAGCGGGAAAACGTTCAACCAAGAATCAGAGATGGAGAACTGAGGGAGATGGTACAGCTTTTGAATAATGTCCGTAGGCAACTACAAGAGAGAGAAGGACAACTATCAGAAAAAGATCGCCAACTAAGAGAGAGAGATGAACAACTTAGGGAGAAGACACAGCAATTGACAAATACTCAAGGGAAACTAACAGAGAGAGATAAACAACTTAGGGAGAAGACACAGCAGTTGACAAATGTCGAAGGGCAACTACAAGAAAGAGATGGAGAAATGAGGGAGAAGACACAGCAGTTGAAAAATACCCAAGGGCAACTACAAGAGAGAGATGGAGAACTGAGGGAGAAGACACAGCAATTATCAAACGTTCGGAGGCAACTAGAAGAGAGAGATGAACAACTGAAGGAGAGGACACAGCAGTTGACAAATGCCCAAGGTCAATTACAAGAGAAAGATGAAGAACTGAAGGAGAAGACAGAGCAGTTGAAAAATGCGGAAGAACAACAACAAGAGAAGGATGAAGAAGTTTCTTCCTTAGAGAGGCGGCTGGAGGAAAAAAAACAGCAGGTAGACGAACTGGAAGAGTCTCTTTCAGCAACTTCACAGGCGTTAAATAAATTTTCGCGCCAACAATCACCTGACTGGGTCATTCCACGTGATCAGATTCAACTGACAGAGAAGTGCCTTGGTAGGGGTGGCTGGGGAATTGTAGTTAAAGGCAAATATTGTGGGTGCACTGTTGCCGTGAAACAAATCTATGACGATCTTTTGAAATCTTCCTCATATTATCGGGAGTTGTTCGAGAGAGAAATGAATATTGCCTCCAGATGTCGCCATCCTTGTTTGCTTCAGTTTATTGGAGCAACAAACGATGAAGGAACTCCTTTGTTTGTCACAGAGCTCATGGAAACAAGTTTACGAGCACTGTCAGAGCAGCGATCTCTTTCTCCTACTGAAGTGTCTGTCATCTCTTTAGACGTGGCTCAAGCATTAAACTATCTTCACCTGAAGAAGCCATCCCCCATCATTCACCGCGACATCAGCAGTGCCAATGTGTTACTGTGGCGAGAAGCTGACCAATGGCGAGGCAAAGTGTCGGATTATGGCACGGCTAATTTCAAGCGAGACATTATGACGGCTTGTCCTGGTTCTAGGATATACAGTGCTCCTGAGGCACTTACTGAGAATCAAACTGAGAATCAAACTTTGGGTTATATTTCTGAATTGTTTATTTGTATGTGTACATTTGTATATTTGGGTTATATTTCTTTGAATTGTTTATTTGTGGCGAACTAGATTAGACATAAATAGTCTCAAAACAAGGTTAATGAGAAAAAGTGAACTTCAACGTCTTGAGAAGAACACTTATATCAAACTTAAACCTTTTGCAGCCATTGATGATGAACTTAGGTGTACTATAAATTTTTTTTTTTAAAGCTGTAATTTTGTTTTCGAGCATAGGTTGATGTGTACAGTTTTTTTTAAAACTGTAATTTTGTTCTCCTCTGTGAGATTTTGCACCCGGAAAACTACCAGATCCTGACAGACGCGACGAGCAAGTTGCCATGGTGAAAAATCGAACACTGCGAGCTCTCATCCGGAGATGTCTGAAACGAGCTCCTGGAGCGAGACCCAGCATGGAGGACATCATCGGTGAACTAGAACAATCAATGTTAGATTAGTTTTGACAAGATCTTCTCTTTTATTCACACTTGCGATCGAAAAAGAAAGTAGCACGCAAACCTATAATGGCTTATTTCAAAGGCTTTTTTCAAAATAATACCTAATCTAATTTTTCAGTTGTACAGTTTTTAGTTTTTAGGAAGTGTGCGGGCTTTTTAGTATGCATAAACGACCATCTTCCGTCAGTTTTTAGGTTGAGTCACCGTTGGTTCTTTCCCGAAGGTGATTCAGGTAAAAAAAAAGAAGAGGTTTTTATGTCTAGAATATTTTTTCGGTATTCAGCGGCTTTTTTAGTCACAGTTTCATACGGTTTTAACTTTTATTGTGTATGAAATTTAAAATCCAAGTAAAATTTGGCACGTGAAAGATGTTTAAAAAGCATTTGAAGTGCTAGTAAAAAAATATAATTCCTTCCATTAGCGTTTACACGGCTTTTAAATTTAATAATACAAGTTTGCAACAAAGTGCCTCAGCAATGAGACTTGGATATGATCGATTAGCAGCTTTTTTGTAAAGTGCATTCTATGTATAAACTCTAGACTAGGTAGAAAATGCAGTTGTAGACTACACACTGAGGGATGATAATTAACATCCTGCCGATTAGCCAGTAGACTTAATTGAGATTATTTAGCTGGTGTTTCTGTGTTTTGATTGGGATTGATTCTTTCCTTTTCGAACGTCGTTAGAAGTTATAAAGAGACCTGAGACTATTGTGTGATTTACAGGTCGCTATTATGTACATATGAATCCGGCATAGATAAATTGTTTATAAATAGCAAAGACAGCAATACCTTGATAGTAGTTATATTCCTCAGTCGAAAGTGAAACATTTTTAAGTCCACACTGCAAAGACTGTTTGCAGTGCGATCAAGATAGAAATAAAATGAAGTAGGATGCCTTTTAAAAATTATATTTGAATTTCTCTTCCTCCCCTCCTCGAAACAGAAGATACGCTTCAGACTTCCTGTTTTCCCAAACAGGATAAGTAATTGACAACTTGTGGAAATTTAGCATAATACGGTTGTGAAATTTATTAGTGATCATGTATATTAAGAAAAACAGTGTAACATCATTGTTTTTTTAATATACATAAACGATTACGAAAATAATTCGTATTCGGGTCCTTCACTCGGATGAGGCAATAACTACCTCTTTTTTCAAAAGGAATGGAATGACATATCGGCTTCAGCCCATCTGATCAGTAAATACGTTAGCGTGACGGTTGAGTTTACAAATGCTTGTCTTGGAGACTAGGTCTCGAGGTTAAAAAAGTTCTGGCGTTTGTTTTTTCCATCACTAATACAATTTCTTTCATGGAAACCTTGGAGGGGACGGAAAGTCCCACTTAGGTGTAGCGAAAAATGGGTAATAAGCAATCCACCATACAAAAGATTTATGAAGCTGCTCGTGATGGATCTTCTAATCTGACTAATCTTTTAAAGCGGTTCGACAGTGAAGAAAGGAAAACTGCCCTCGGTTCCAAGACCAAAGATGGCAACTTATCAACAGTAGTATAAGAAATAATGCAATCGATTACCGCCGAATATCGTGGTTCATTCCTCCGAGATATCGCCGATTATTGGAGATATATCTTTGCATTTTGTCGGCAAGAGAGAACGATGAATCGATGAGACGACAACGCTTCAGCAGGCAAGTAAATTTTTCTGGGAAAACAGTAAGTGATTCATATCATACTCGGTTGCAAATAAAAAAAATTGAACTTTTCTTTTCTTTTTCTCGCTTTCGTCAATCAAAAGCACTTTGCCCAAAGTAGGTCACAGTAATTTCACCAGTTCATCACAATAACTTAGATAACGAAGTATAGCCAGTCTAAAGAGCACAAGATAACGAATAATGAAACCAATTCCAGCGAAATAATTATTAAATTTGTTATCACCTCCTTAAATCTGCATATTTTTATCAAAACCCTCTGGCTGTTTCCGAATTTCATTAAGTCTCTGTCCGATGAAATTAAGGGCCGTAAGGATTTTTGTTCGAGTCTTTAAACAGCCCTTCTGTCATATTTTATAATAACTCTAGTGGATCACGTACCGGTTTGAAATAAAATGTGCAAAACGATGAATAGAAGAATAAATAATGAAAAGAAAAAAATCCGTCGCCGCTTTGCGAAAACCTGAGAGCGGTAAAGGAGCTTGCTAGGTAGGGACTTAGGTAGGCAGAAAAAGGATTGTCATTTTCCTTGGCCGTAGCCGCACTTGACAAGTAAACCGGGTTATTTATAATAAATCAATCGCTTTTTTCGGCTTTTTATCGAACGGAAGCTGCGTTAACGGTAACCAAGAAGTTAACGTAGGTAGAATCGGAAGAAGGATCATCTAATCCATGACTGAAGAGAAAGGAATCGAAAAAAAAAGAAAGAAGCAAGAAAATAACATCGTGGCCCTCGAAGTCTGCATTTTTTTTGGTTTCCCCATGATATCAAGTTCACCCACTTCATAACCCAGTTCAGTTCCGCCGTTCAAAATAAAAAGCCCCTTTATTTCATCTTAACCAACCCTTTACCGGGTTAATTTTTTTGAAATTTTGACTAGTTTTCTAAAAAATAACTCAATTAACTGTTTTATTGCGGCCACAGCCACCAGTTTAGCTATTATATTATTTGTCCATCGATTTATTCAATCGATTTACTTATTCATACGTTCTTAAATTTTGAATATTGAATTAAACTTTTAGGTAGAAAAGATGTCAAACCTAGAGTTACCAAGCCGAAGCTTACCTGTTGTCATAACTGAGGCAGGTGTTTGTATTGCATTGAGCATCACAAGCATCATTGGAAACAGCCTGGTTTGTGTGGCAACACACAGAAACTCAAACCTGCGATCAACCACCAACCTGTATATCATTGCTTTAGCGGTCAGCGATCTGCTGTGTGGAATAGTAGAGATGCCGTTAGCTTCTGCCACGCTGATCATCGGAAGATGGGTCTTTGGCGACGCCTTATGCCAATTTCAAGGCTCAGTTACTGAATTTACCTATTATGTTACCCCAGCGACCCTTGGTTTGACAGCGTTTAACCGCTACGTGAAAATTGTAAAGACAATTTTTTCGTCCCAAAGATCTAAGATAAGGTTGAGTTGCTTGTGGCTTTCCCTTGCACTTTACCTGCTGATTGTCCGAGTCACAAATTGGTTACGAATTGAATTTGTCCAAAGCTACGCAGTGTGCGTCTTTGCTTTCCCAACCAGTGAAAATCAAATCGTTCATTATTGCACCACTTTCGGATTACTTTTTGTTTTACCGTTGTTTGTCGGCATTTTCAGTTATTATAAGATATTTCTCAAAACCAATGAGCATCAACATAGTGTAGTCTCATCGCTACAGAACGGGAGTGAAAATGGTTCAGTAACCAACTCAGTGAGAGAAGTAAAGCTTGCTCGAATGTTGGTCCTTGTGGCAGCGGGATTTTTGTGTTGCTGGATACCAATGTGGGTATTTGTCCTCTGGTTTCGTTTTTTCCCTGAAACCAGCTCAAGAATTTCTGAATTGCTTGTCACTTTTTTATTTTATTTGAGTGCTTCAATCAATCTTATTATTTACGCTTTCACAAATGGCGAGTTCCGAAGGGAATTTCGCAAACTGCTCTGTTGTCGCCGTGAAAGGTCAAGAATTGTGCCAAAGAAAGCTGCTGCGTTTACTGGTAACGATCTCGTCGAACGAGAGGAACAAGAAGCAAACTTTTAAATCTAATGAATTTGTGTTGGTGAAACATCCTCTTTTAAAAACAGGACGGAAAAGTTATTCCTTTTTTTTTTTTTTTTTCTAATTTAGTTATTTGTGAATGAAAGTGATCCTCGCAGTAATGTGCACTACTTAGGCAGTAGTGAAAATAAGGCCTGAAAAAAATTCAGGCCTGTCCGGAATTTGAACCCATGACCTCTGCGATACCGATGCAGCGCTCTACCAACTGAGCTAACAAGCCAACTGGGAGCTGGTCATGAAGTTGGTTCTAAATAAACCCGTGAAGTGATGAAGAGGAGGAAATGAGTAGAATTTGAAAAAGAAGCCCGCAAAGAGATAAAACTTGGCACCTACGACTGATAACAATATTAATGACGTATCAGTGATAATAATAGCTCGCAAGACTTTCTACGTCGACGAAATAGTTCCTAAGTGTATTTTAAGATGGAAAATATGTTAGAGGGAAATTTTGTTCGTCAAACGTCAAATATAACTGCTTAGTACTCCTGTAGATGGCCTAAAGGTTTGGTGCGCCCTCCTCATTTTTTTCGGTTTTTTAAGGTTAGGCATATATTTTTTTTTATCATAGTTTTTCCCTTGTCTCTGTGAATACGATGGTGTATTTTTTTTTTCGTCGTCGTCGTTGTTGTTTTTTTTTGTTTGTCTGTTTGTTTGTTTGTTTGTTTTTTTTTGTCAAATTTCGAATTTTTTGTTAATTTTTCATATCATTTGCATAATTTTTCATATTTTAAAAAAGTGAAGAAATGGGTGCACCCACTGTAAGACATTATTTCTCCGGACTGATGGGAGGGTTAGGGGTGAAATTATGGGATGGGGATATAGGTATGGGGATGTAGAGTAAAGTTGTACATCTGTGCAAATGTAAAATACTTCTCTTAGCCTTATATTTTGTGCAAGATATTCTTGTCTATATTTCGGTGCGCTCTCCCTACTTAGCTTATTATTCGAAGCCATGTTTAAGCGTTTCTCTTTTTTTTTTTTTTTTTTTTGTCGATTTAACGAAAAGGATTGAAATAAAAATCTTACTGGCGCAAAGTTAAGCTTTTGGGCTTTATTAAGGTGTAATTTTTATTTAGTTTGGTTAAGGTTGTAAAAGAATGAAGAGTCACATACCTTTACAACTTTTTATGGAAATTTTGTCTAGCTTTTGGCCTTAATTTCTCAAAGGTGCATGCTCCTTGAAAGTTTCTAATGATATTGACCAATGTATCTTATCAATGGTGCCTAGTTTGAATAAATTGATATCAAGTTAAATTTGAATTATATATAAACTGTATCA